TTATTTTTCGTGTGCAGCTCGGAGGCATTGTGAGGGAATGACATGGATCGGGCAATTATGGTTATGTAGATGGACTCATTGGCTACACATAGGAAAAAACGGAGTTTGATTTCAAGTTCGGATGAATCCGGACGGAACCAAAACGCGAAGCTGCGCAAGTTACCGACCCTTTAAAGGTTAAAAATTCCACATAATTTGTACTCTGAGCAATAGTGTGGTTTGCAAGCATTATTGGATAGAGGGGTTCATTAGTGACGCGTAGGAAAAAACGGAACGAAATTCCAAGTTCGGATAAGCTCAAACGAGCCAAAAACGTAAACGCGTGCACTGCTGCCCGAGCGCGCGCGCGCCCGCGTGCTGCGCGCGCCATGCCGCGCCCAGCGGCCCTTGCACCCTTTTTTTTCAGATTTTTTCGAGCCTATATCAATATTTTGAGTTAACAACCATTATGGATGAGAAAATTGGTTCTTTTAGGTATGTTTGATGGATGGGTGAAGAAATTATGCATGGTTGATGAATGGGTGAAGAAAAATTATGTTAGGAAATTAAGGATTTTTTTTCACCCTATATAAACCACCTTCATTACCATCTTAATTCATTCACTTCTTCACCATGTTGTGTACAACTTCTCTTTCTTTGTAATATTTCCAAGAGTGTTCTTAGTGTTCTTGATATTTTTCAAGTTTGATCTTTGCATGCAAGCTCAGTTTTAATCTTTTTGTATTTTGAAGTTTATAAGTTTGAAGATTGTTGATGTGTTGAGACATTACGTTTGCAATTCCTCTTTCTTGTGAATCAATAGTAAGTTTTCTTTTCATTTTATGTTATCAATGGTTTGTTTCCATAAGAATTTGTATGTTAAAATTACTATGATCAACTAATTTCCTAATTAGGGTTAAGGGGTAATCATTTTGGTTTATTAACATTTATAAGTATTTTTATTACTCAATCTTTACAAATTTTATTAATCTTATGGTTAAATAATTGATCACCATTTTAATCTACATAATCAATTTCAAAATCGATAGAGGCGAAACTGATAGAACTTGATTTGTTTGGAATAGACATGTTCGGAAACGTATTGTTTATGTGTTAACCGTTTTACTAATTCACTTGTTTAAAGTTCATCCGTATATTACGAGAGTTAGTACGGATAAACTACTAGATGAGTTAATTAAGTGAACCGGTTAACCGAGTAATTTATATATTAATAAATGTTAATAAAACCGGAATTGATTATCCCCAATACCCTAAACTTTTAAATTCATTATAAATTATATTTTTCATTTTATTCGTTTGAAAGTTTTTACGAGTAAAACAACTTTATCGTTCGAAAGTTTTTACTAGTAAAACGAATTTTTCATTTGAAAGTTTTACGAGTAAAACGATAGCATTAATAATAGCTTGGAATATTATTGTCATTTTAGTTATTTTATTATTGTTAAAAAGTTGTAAAATTTAGTTTAAAAATCCAATCATCAAATTGAATTAGAATATTTAGGATTATTTTCTCTTTTGTAAATTAAATAAACGTTCGATTTAGTCCGGCTATTCTTCCTTTGAGAACGACCCGAGTCGGGTAACTCGGTTACTTCTTGCCCAAAAATATTGCAAACACACATTAGTGACTATTAGATTGCACCATATCGAAGACCAAACTAAATTTTTTAGTTTGAGAATTTTAATTTCAATTCAATTGTCAATTTTCTTACTTTTTTTAAGTCGATTATGCCGGTTTGATAGCAGTTTTTTTTATTTATTTTTTAGTTAGATAATCAAACGACCGAATTATATAAAAATAATTTTTTTTTCATTTTATTATTATATTTTTATGTGAAATTTTATTAAACTTCAACCATAAAAGTACAAGATATTAAATAATGAATAAAAATATTAAAACTATTAGTCATAATTTGATTAATTACAATTTCACCCATGAATTAAATTGTAATATATAAAAATGTTGAAATTGCAACTATGCCCCCAATATTTATCAAATTCACAAAAGCAAGTCCTATTCCTAAATTTAAAAATCTGTGATTTTTTCCCGACGTGCCTCGCGACCACCCCCAAAACTTCAACCTGTGGCCACCGGTGGACCTTCGTCGGCTGCCGACACGACGCCACCATCATCGACAAACTCGATTTCAACAACCACCTTAACACCCAGGATGGCCGAGCTCGTCGACGAGCACAACGCCAGCGGCCGCGCGCCTGTGCGATAGTCGTTCAACGGTGGTCGCAACGTCATCTTCATGAGCACCTATTGTTCGATTTGTGGCGAGTGGTGGTGATAGACGGAGGGCGACGACAGCAGGTGGCATACGGACGGCGACCGGCGGCAGTTGGCGGGATCGGCCGGCGTTGAGTGAGGTCTGAGGCGACAGGCGGTGGTCATGGGAGGTGGTGTCGCCGTCTGTGCGTGTATGTGTGTATGTGTGTGTGTGAAATATGTGTGTACGTGAAAAAATCGAATTTCTATGCGTGTGTATTTGTGTGTGTGAGAGGAGGGAGAGAAAAGGTTAGTGGTGGGGTCCACTTCTATGATAATGATGAATTGGTGAGTGTATAATGACTAATTTATCCTTATTAAGTTGTAAAAACATATATTTGACCATGATTTATATGTTTATTTACCTTTGTGCCATCCATATTAATTATTATTTATTAAATTTTGATTTAATCATGACCACTGATTTAGTAGATCTAATGGTCAAAAAGCAATCTTATTTCTATCAATATTCACAGTCTGCTCAAATTTAATCGATAATCAAATTAAAATTTGACTAAAAATAAAAGGTTGGCTACACTTACAAACAAATCCAATAAAAAATTTCATACAATATCCCTTGCATTTAGCGGATGACGATGCAAAATCCCTTCATAAAAACGTAACATGTGCAAGCCACTTTAAAATATATATATATA